TTGATGGTCCCCATAGTTTTCCCAAACCTCTGGGAAGGTTTCCAGTGAATAATTCTGGCAACTCGGTCCTGATGCTGCTTGTAATCAGTTTCTGATTATTATTTTTTTCACAGTAATCCATTAGTAAATTATTATTTTATTTAAATTTGTTTGGCTGCCCACTTCCATTGGAGTCTCTGTGGTGTACAAAACGAGGAAAAAAATAAAAACGGCTAAAAACATGGGCTCAGACAGACAGCCCAGATTAAAATAATCTTACAAAGAAGAAAATTGGCAAAACGAAACACTGAGTTCTAGTCCTGCCTTAGGCACAAAGGCCAGCTGGGGGGACTTTGGATCAATCACCAGCAGACAGTGAGTTCTAGTTCCACCTTAGGCTTGAAAGCTGGTTGGATGACTTTAGGCCCGTCACCAGGAGACAGAGAGTTCTAGTTCTACCTTGGGCATGAAAGCTGGTTGGATGACTTTAGGCCAGTCACCGGGAGACAGTGAGTTCTAGTTCCACCTTAGGCGTGAAAGCTGGTTGGATGACTTTAGGCCCGTCACCAGGAGACAGCGAGTTCTAGTTCCACCTTAGGCGTGAAAGCTGGTTGGATGACTTTAGGCCCGTCACCAGGGGACAGCGAGTTCTAGTTCCACCTTAGGCATGAAAGCTGGTTGGATGACTTTAGGCCCGTCACCAGGAGACAGCGAGTTCTAGTTCCACCTTAGGCATGAAAGCTGGTTGGATGACTTTAGGCCCGTCACCAGGAGACAGCGAGTTCTAGTTCCACCTTAGGCATGAAAGCTGGTTGGATGACTTTAGGCCCGTCACCAGGAGACAGCGAGTTCTAGTTCTACCTTAGGCATGAAAACCAGCTGAATGGCCAGTCCGTCTCCCTCAACCCAATCTACCTCACATGGTTATTGTAGTGGGGAAAAAAGGAGGAGGAAGGAGTATTAGGTATGTTGGCTGTCTTATCTATAAAAATATTAAAGGCAGAATAAAAAAAATTGAAAATAAATATCAACCCCAAATCTGGGATATTGAGACGGGTAATCCTATATTTGCTAGAATTTATGGGGAAAGAAGAATTCTCAGGGCAGATGCACAAAAACTTTCTCATGTGATTTATATACTTATTACTTTTTTCCCCCTCTTCTGCCACAATCTGTTCGCTCCCCTGCCGTTTCACGGTCTAAGACAGGGGTAGGCAACCTTGGCTCTTTTATGACTCGTGGACTTCAACTCCCAGAATTCCTGAGCCAGCCATGCTGAGGGGAAAAGGAGAGGTTTCCATGCTGAGCCATGCTGGCTCAGGAATTCTGGGAGTTGAAGTCCACGAGTCATGAAGGGGCCATAGTTCCCCCACGCTGGCTCAGGAATTCTGGGAGTTGAAGTCCACGAGTCATGAAGGGGCCATAGTTCCCCCATGCTGGCTCAGGAATTCTGGGAGTTGAAGTCCATGAGACTTAAAAGAGCCAAGGTTGCCTACCCCTGGCCTAAGAAATACCTATTAAAGCAGTGTTTCTCAACCTTGACAATTTTAAGACATGTGGACTTCAACTCCCAGAATTCCACAGCCAGCATTGCTGGCTGTGGAATTCTGGGAGCTGAAGTCCACATGCCTTAAAATTGTCAAGGTTGAGAAACACTGTATTAAAGCCTCCCTGATACATTGGAATCCACCCTACCAATTCTTTCATTCCTGTTGTTTATCTGTGGGAGTGGTTGGCAATGTGGCATTTGAATTTATGGATCCCCAAAGGTGGTGCATAAAAAAAAAGAGTGATCTTTTCTCTTTGTTTTAGTGACCTTTAACCTGGGCAAAGGGGCCAGCACTTCAGCTGCTGCAGCACCACCCAAAGGGAGGCAAGTATTATCATTGGCCAGCCAGATATTCAGGCTGGACGTGGCTTTTTTCTCCACTCCTTTCCAAGGACCTGGGACAGGCAGAGGTTGGTGCTTAATAAGGTTAAAGGTTACAGGCGTTAATGTTAAAGGTGTTAAAGCAAGGAGATATTGGACAAAGATTTACACTTGGCTAGAAAAAAAGGTTAGAGAAACACATAGACCAGGGGTAGGCAACCTTGGCTCTTTTATGACTCGTGGACTTCAACTCCCAGAATTCCTGAGCCAGCCATGCTGAGGAGAAATGGAGAGGTTTCCAAGCTGAGCCATGCTGGCTCAGGAATTCTGGGAATTGAAGTCCACCAGTCATAAAAGGGACCATTCAGCCATGCTGGCTCAGGAATTCTGGGAGTTGAAGTCCAAGAGTCATAAAAGAGCCAAGGTTGCCTACCCCTGGAGTAGGGAGATGCTGCAAGGGTCGTCAGTCTAAAAACCTGTCATAGGTCACTTTTTTCAGTGCTGTTGTAACCTTGGTCGCTAAATGAACTGTTGTAAATTGAGGACTATCTGTAAACCCTCATAGGGCTGGTGCGTTGCTTCTGGGAATTTCCTGTCCTTCCCTCCCTCCCTCCCTCCCCCGAGCAACAGGGCAAGCCAAGCATTTGACGCTCATCTGAATCCAATCAAAACTCAGTGTTACTCTTGGGACTCGGGAAGGAAACCTCAAACCCCTTTCCATACTAGGGGACTAAGGAAAATCACACCTTCGCATCTGGACAGACTCTACAACACAAGGGTATTAATCCATGTCTGTTTTCTCCAGCTTGCTTGGCCCCAGTGTGCTGAAGCCCTCGGGAACGCTGCTCCCCGTGAAGCGGAAAGAAACCCCTCCAATTTCAAAGCAGACTAAGGAGAAAAAGAAGAAAAAAACCGCTCTCGACGAGATCATGCAGGTGTGGTGGAGACCCAGTTACTGACGCATTCTGCTCGGTGATTATTATAAGCAGGAGCAATACTGAAAGTGGTTAGGGGACAACCAGAGGACATCTGTGGGGTCCTTGGTGCTCTCTGAGCTTGGTTGTTTTCTTGCAGACCTTTCATGGCCCAACTTAGGTAACATCATCAGTGCTAGAAGGGTGTGAGGAGGAGGATTTGGGGGTCCTTGTTGTTTTCTTGCAGACGTTTCATGACCCAACTAGGTAACATCATCAGTGCTAGAAGGGAGAGGCGTTTGTGGAGATGAGGAGGAGGATTGTGGGGTCCTTGGTGCTCTCTGAGCTTGTTTTCTTGCAGACATTTCATGACCCAACTAGGTAACATCATCAGCGCTAGCAAGAAACGTGTCTGAGCACTCAGGGCTCCACAGTTCAGCATTGAACTAAAAATATTCTATCAGCAGAGAATGTTTTTCATTTGCCAATGTGCCCATGCGAGGCAACGAAGACTGGTGATAATATTTGAGGGGTGGTGGTGTTTTGTTTATAGGAAAATGGCAGAGATCAAAATCAAGGGGATCATAAAACTTAACTCCTAGTTTAGCTGTTTACTAGCACATTGCCAACTAGTTAGTAACCATTCGATCTCCTACATCGGTTGGATCTCACCTTAAGTCTTGTATCCAGTTCTGGGCCTCTTCTTGAAGGATGGTTCACAGACTGTTGCTGTATCCCAAGGTCGCTTTTTACAACCTTAGCAAAGTAAGAATTCCACCATCTAGTTCAGTGTTTCTCAACCTTGACAATTTTAAGGCAATGCTGGCTGTGGAATTCTGGGAGTTGAAGTCCACATGCCTTAAAATTGTCAAGGTTGAGAAACACTGATCTAGTTAATACGAGGATCTCTTATCGTTAAGAATATACTCTCCATATTCCAGTTGCTTCTGATTTTCTGGAAGTCACAAAGCCATTCTTTAAACGTTTTTTAGTATTTTAGGGTATCTTCTGGACATGATCTCCAGTTGATCTCGCCTGCGAGGCCAAAATGAATAATATATGTATTTTTTTTCCCTTTTATTTCTCCTAGTTTGAAGAAGAGAAGAAAAAGTCTGCCCGACTAGACTACTGGTTGCAACCTGTAAGTATCCAAGTTATTGTCTGGAATCTGTCGTGATGTAGCCTCCGGGAATAAGTGGGTAGATTTTTACGTATCCCTTTAAGTATTTATAGTGGTCTCTTGTCTTATGTACAAGATCAAGAGTTTTGTGGGGTTTTTTTTTCCCTTTTGAAAAAGTTTTTTTTCCTTGAAGACATTTCACTTCTCATCCAAGAAGTTTCATCAGTTCTGGATGGATGGTGGGGTGGGGTGGGGTGGGGTGGGGATGGAAGGTATTACTTATATTAGCAATAACAACAGCAAAATCCCTGTTTTTTGGAAAGCTAGGAAATTAAGGAAAATGTATTTTTCCTGACCCTCTGCTTTTTATATATATATAGGAGACTCTGGTCTCCGTCTCTGTTCTCCATCTCCGTTACAATTCATTTCCGGGGTAAATCTTACTGTTACACTCAATTTCACCGTATTGCAGAAAGAATTAACTGCAGAAAAGAGGTGAGATCTACTTGCCTGTCATTAACTTTGCTGTCTTTTCTAGGAAATCGTGGTCAAAATCATAACCAAGAAACTCGGCGAGAAATACTACAAAAAAAAAGCCATTGTTAAGGTGAGTAGAGCATCTTTTATCTGTCCTCCAAAAATATGGGTCATAGACAGGGGCAAGTGTGAGTTAATAATAATAATAATAAAGTTGGACGGGATCTTTTGCTAGAATTGGGTATGTCTAGTTTAACGAAGAGAAGGACGAGGGGGGACGTGATGGCAGTGTTCCAATATCTCAGGGGCTGCCCCAAAGAAGAGGGAGTCAAGCTATTCTCCAAAGCACCTGAAGGCAGGACAAGAAGCAACGGATGGAAACTCATCAAGGAGAGAAGCAACCTAGAACTAAGGAGAAACTTCCTGACAGTTAGAATAATTAACCAGTGGAACAACCTGCCTCCAGAAGCGGTGAATGCTCCAACACTGGAAGTTTTAAAGAAGAGACTGGACAGCCATTTGTCTGAAATGGTATTGGGTTTCCTGCCTGAGCAGGGGGTTGGACTCGATGACCTCCAAGGTCCCTTCCAACTTTATTATTATTATTATTATTATTATTATTATTATTATTATTATTATTATTATTATTATTATTATTATTATTATTATTATTATTATTATTATTATTATTATTATTATTATTATTATTAGTTTGGACAAATGGCTGTCCAGTCTCTTCTTAAAAACTTCCAGTGTTGGAGCATTCACCGCTTCTGGAGGCAGGTTGTTCCACTGGTTGGAACAGGTGTAAATAAAAACGTTGCAAGGGAGGATGGGTGGAATAATACAAAACAGGTAGTCCTCGATTTACGACGATTCATTTCGCAACCGTTCGAACGGCACTGAAAAAAAGTGACTTATGACCATTTTCCCCAGGGTCACGTGATCCAAATTCAAACGCTCGTTAACTGACCCCCGCAGTGTCCCGAGGGTCACGTGATCCCCTTTTGCGACCATCTGACAAGCAAAGTCCACGGGGGAAAGCCGGGTTCGCTTAACAACGGTGTTACTAACTTAACAACTGCAGTGATTCGGTTAACACTTGTGGCCAGAAAAGCCATAAAATGGGGCAAAACTCACTTTAACAACTGTCTCACTTAGCAATAGCAATTTGGGGCTCAGTTGTGGTCGTAAGTCGAGGACTACCTGTAATAAGAGTTGGAAGGGACCTTGGAGGTCTTCTAGTCCAACCCCCTGCTCAGGCAGGAAACCCTATACCAGGGGTCTGCAACCTTGACAACTTTAAGACTTGTCCACAAGTCTTAAAGTTGTCAAGGTTGCAGACCCCTGCCCTATACCATTTCAGACAAATGGCTGTCCAGTCTCTTCTTAAAAGTGTTTTTGCTTCAAGTGTTTTTGCTTCAAGACCCCTTATGGAACCTCACTGTTCCTGCTAGCTAAGCATGCTGGGACTTGAAGTCCAGGACAACTAGTGAGGACCAGTTTCTTACGCTAAAATATAACTCGATTGGAAGATGTGAAGGAGGGCTTAACTATAGACCACCTAGTTCTTGGATCGTGCAACAGTTCAATCAATTAACCAGGGCTGGCAAGTCAAAAGATCCAGGCAACGTGAAAAGCCCAAACCAACTGTCTTATGGGTAGTCCTTGACTTACGACAAGTCTTTCCCTTGTGGCCATTGCAGCGTTCCCATTTCACACGCTCAGACCTAGGGCATAAAAGCAATCAGAAGGTCTTTAGAACGGTGTGGCAGCGTTGCAACGTCCTGTGATCGCCATTTGCGACCTTCCCAAGCGGTGTGTGACAAGCCAAGTCAACGGGGGGAGTCGGCTTCAAGTAACAATTGCCCGATTCGCTTAACGGCCGTGGTAATTCGCTTACCAACCACAAGAGAAACGGTTGTAAAATTGGGTTTAACGGATTTAACAGCCACATACGGCCCTTAGCAACAGAGGTTCCACCTGCGTCCAGGCGAGATGGGCATCACATAAATACATTCAATAAAAATAAGTGAAATTGTGGGTCCTGAGTCATGAACTATCTCTATAGCTGACTATGATGGCCTCGTTCCCACAATGTGTGAACAGGCAATGTGGCTTGTTGGTTTCGGGCAGGCGTTGTGAAATGTAAATAAACCACGGTTTCATGTGTTCGTACAGTTAGATCTGAGCCTTTTTTCTTACCATTTAAGAATAATCAGTGACGAATTTTTCCTTTTAACCATTGATGTGACAGGAGGTAATTGACAAATACACAGCAGTTGTAAAGTTGACCCATTCCGGAGATAAACTCAAACTTGACCAGACACATCTGGAGACGGTGATCCCAGCCCCGGGTAAGTTTGGGGGGCAAGATAATTCTTACTAAAAGAGGGAGCCCTGTTTTTAAATGTATGTTCCCCTGGCTGTCTTTCACACTCTCATTGGGAGATCGTGGTTAAATAGAGCTTCTCATATCCTGGTCAGCTCATTAGTTCACTTAGCAACCGTGTTACTAATTTGACAACTGCAGCCAGGGGTAGGCAACCTTGGCTCTTTTATGACTGGTGGACTTCAACTCCCAGAATTCCTGAGCCAGCATGGCTAAGCATGGAAACCTCTCCCTTTCCCCTCAGTGTGACTGGCTCAGGAATTCTGGGAGTTGAAGTCCACGAGTCATAAAAGAGCCAAGGTTGCCTACCCCTGTCCTAAGTCCTCCTGTTCTAAGCGGTGAGCCTCCTAAACCAGGGGTGGGCAACCTTGGCTCTTGTATGACTCGTGGACTTCAACTCCCAGAATTCCTGAGCCAGCCACGCTGAGGGGAAAGGGAGAGGTTTCCCAGCTGAGCCATGCTGGCTCAGGAATTCTGGGAGTTGAAGTCCCAGTCTCTACTCTGTAAACCGCTTAGAGAGGGCTGTAAAGGCACTGTGAAGCGGTATATAAGTTTATTGCTATGAAGTGTGTGGGATTAGCTGAAAGGAAGATTCAGATAGCATGTTTAAACCAAAACTAAGATAATCGGAGCTTATCCCAAACTAGGAAGCAAACCATTTCTGTTGTCACAGGGTGGTTTATTTATCACATCCCATACATTTTGCTCCTACGGTTGGGGAGTTCAAATCCCATTCCAATAGCAAAGGCACACAGAAGACTGTGGCGTTAGTAAAATAGAAAAGGGCCTAAATCATGGGTTCTAGAAATTGACTCCCAACATCTTGAGATCAAAGGAAGAAGGAGGGTAGATCTCTCTCCCAGGAGTTAGTAAGTAGGCCAGGCATAGGAGAAAAGCACTGGGTTAGATTGACAGATGTCAGGCTTGAGGTAGGTTAGACTCATCCCTGTTCACCTTACAGGTAAAAAGGTGCTGATTTTAAATGGAGGCTACAGAGGGAACGAAGCCATGTTACAGAGTATCAGCGAGAAGGCATTTTCAGCCACAGTCCTCATTGAATCGGTAAGTGTGTCGTAGTAGTTGTGTAAGGTGTCGTTTGGAAGTGGGCAGCCGAATCCTGTCCTTGTTTATTTACGATTCCTACAAGAAATTTAGAAAATGGATTAATTCAGTGAACTCAGGGTTTTGTGTAAATGCCCTTGAAATGTTATTCCTTTGGCCGGCTGAATCTTGCCTGGATTCTAGAAGTCTACAGTTCTTGACGTTGCCAAGCTTGGAGACCCCTGATGTAATGTATCCAATGTAGGATAATTTGATCCTGTTGGGCCTTGAGTGAGATGATCCCTTGGTTTGTCGTCTTGGTGTCCACAAGCTTGAACATCTTTAAAGCTTCCTTTCGTTTAACTTCTCTCTGCAGGGACCTCTGAAAGGACGTCAGGTGGAGGGTGTTCCATACGAAGACATTTCCAAGTTGGCCTCCGTTGACCAAAGGAGCTGATGGAACCAGCCAGGTACATCTCTTGAGATGGCTGCAGGTGAACAAGTCCAGCACGCTAAACTCACGAGTTGAACCGTCAACTTCAAGGAGCAGACAAGATTTCTGACAGATGCCCTATAAATACAGTACATTGGATCCTCTATTTAAGCCCTTTGTATCTCAACCACGGGCGACTTCATAATTTTGATTCGATTGGTTCATCTGCAGAACAGTATCGGCCACCTGTAGTCCTGTCAGAGACTTTTCTGTAATTTATGTCTCCTGCAGAAATGGAAAGCCCCCATGGTTGGAATCCTCATGGTGTTAAAACTTCAGGGGTGCCAGCAACGAGTTTAGCTTCCTCACACACAACCTGATACAAAAATAGTCCTCCATTCCTTCGGGATGGGAAAGACCACCAATAGGATGTCGACCACCCCGTAAAAAGCATAACCTGCCAACTTTTTAAATGGCCGATCTAAGTCATGGATTCTGACGGAATCAGAGGATCGTCAAAGAGCCTCTGGTTTTTCAAATATATTTTTTCAGTCCCTCCTTGTAGCAGAATCTGCCCTTTGCTTCTTGTGGGACGTTTTATCGGATCTGAGGAAAAGATCTTCTGAATGGCCCAAAGATCTGATCTTACAGTGAGGAAAAGATCTTCTGAATGGCCCAAAGATCTGATCTTACAGTTAGGTGGATCTTCTGAATTCAGCTACAACCTGGGACCTATTTTTGCATTGCACTGTTTAGCCACGTGGAAATATTTGGAGGATTGGCAGCAATCGCTCTACGCTTGGAAATCCAGATTTCTTGATCTGGGCCTTCGCTGTACCATAACTGGTTCTTTGGACCCCAGCAGGAGCGTCCGTCAGTGGTTTTTTAAAAATTGTATAATGATTTTGTACAGAAGAGAGAAGATGGAAGTTATTTTATTGGTGCAAGTGTTTCTTTTTAACCGTTGTGCGTTACCCAAAGTAAATGGACTTGGAGGCCCTTCAGTTGGCTCATAGCTTTATTTTAGAATAAAATGGCTTCTGAACTTGGGCGTTGAAGTATATTCCCTTGAAGTTGTGAATTCGCAGGATGGGCTCTTCAAATTAAATTCAGAAGAGCAGACTCTTCAGATCCCACCGAGATCCAGTGTGGTGATCTGCTGCTTGTCACAATCCACGCGTTGCCTAAAGCAAGGGTCCCCAACTCCAGGTCCATGGACCAGCACCGGGCCGTAGCATGCCGGAAACTGGACCACACAAACAAGCAAACCCCCATCTGTGGGATGCAGGCAGCACGCGAAATCACGCTTCTTCCAGTCCGGGGAAAAACCTCTCTCCACGGAATCGATCCCTGGTGCCCAAAAGCTTGGGGGGGGGGGCTGACCCAAAGTTATAAGTGTGAACAAATTGGGGCTGATCTGTATTTATGGTACAACACTGAACCCTTGTTTATTGCCATCCAGGCTGTCTTCTTACAGGTTTAAGTGGTTCACTTACAAACTTAGCTTACGTATTCACACAAGGTGCCAAGCTTTGTTCCAAGCGTGACTAGCTTTCTCGTCCATCGTAGGATTGAAAATGGTTAGTTCGTGCTTCGCTGCATTGCTCAAACCCAGAAAACGGTTTCATTCAACCAGGTTAAGGGAGTTGTGAGAATGCAGCAGCCCCCTTTTTCTTCTGATAAGCAGTGCAGCGATTGGGGGAACCTATAGGACTATTTCAGGGGTAGGCCACCTTGGCTCTTTTATGACTCGGGGACTTCAACTCCCAGAATTCCTGAGCCAGCATGGCTAAGCATGGAAACCTCTCCCTTTCCCCTCAGCATGGCTGGCTTAGGAATTCTGGGAGTTGAAGTCCACGAGTCATAAAAGAGCCAAGGTTGCCTACCCCTGAGCTAGACCCTTTCAGATGTATGGTGGCTACAAGCCTCTTTGGCAGGGGTAGACAACCTTGACTCTTTTATGACTCGTGGACTTCAACTCCCAGAATTCCTGAGCCAGCATGGCTCAGCTTGGAAACCTCTCCCTTTCCCCTCAGCAGGGCTGGCTCAGGAATTCTGGGAGTTGAAGTCCACCAGTCCCAAAAGAGCCAAGGTTGCCTCTTCGTGGACTATGTCATTGCAAGTTCAATCTACACAGAAATCACAGAGGGATTATATGGCTAGAGATTTTTGACAGGGAAGGAAGAGGCGTTGTGGGACAAGAACAGGACCTATAGTTCTTAAACAAGTGCAGCTAGTCCTTGATTCACAACCATATCTGATCCCAGAATTGTGGCCATAAGACATGGTCATTAAATGAGTCAGCATATCGCCATGCACAGCATCATCATCTTTCTGGAAGCCATTGTGCGAATGCAGCAGTCGTTAAATGAATCCCTTTTATCCAATGAGTGTTTTTTGCAGGCAACTAGAAGCAAGTTGTTTCTAAACTTTCAAAACCGTTTAAAAAAAAGGGAAAAAAATGCAGTCATGTGACTATGGGATGCCGCAAACTCACAGTTGCCGAGCGCCCCAAATGAGATCATGTGACCCACGGGAGGTGCAACTTCAAACTTAGATCTTAAGTATCCTTTGAAGGGTCTGTTGTAACTTCCAACCATCTCCAAGTGACCAGTCGTAAATCAAGGACTACCTGTATTCTCTTAAGGACGTGTTTAAATTTCGGCTAAATCTGTCATTTAAATTTGACCAACAGGTGGCAAGCCTTTCTGCCTCGATTCCAACAATGCTTGTTTAAGGCATTGGGGGTGTCCAACCTGGACAACTTTTTAAGACCTGTGGACTTCAGTTCCCAGAATTCTCCAGCCTGCCACGCGGGCTGGGGAATTCTGGGAGTTGAAGTCCCCAGGTCTTAAAAGTTTCCAAGATGGGCTACCCCCGTCTTAAAGGCCTTGTTTGAAAACTTCTTAGGCCCATTAGACAAATCGAACAGAATGCAGCATCCACCAGAGAGTTTTCTACTTTAATTCCATTTGGATACATGGTCTTTATACAGTCGGGGAGGGGGGAAATAATAACCACATTTTTCTACATTTTTCCAGCACCCTTCGTTTACATTTTGCCTTCAAATGCAACTTTGCTCGAAAGTCGAACGTTTGGTTCGCGTTCTACACAAGCAGTCCCAGTGACACAATGTCCAAATATCCCTGGGGAGGGTAATTTCAGGGGAGGGGGGGATGTGGGCAGCGTTATTAAGCCGGAGCAGGCCGTGATGAAACTCTTCCCAAAGGCTGTTGTTGCCCGTGTGAATTGCTACGAGGTGAGTTGGGTGGCCGTTTGGGACCGTTTCCTCGCCGGCTTTCAAGCCGAGCATTCAGAAGCGCTTCAGGTAGCTGTATAAATTAGGGACAAGGTAATCTCTGTAGTGGCCATCGAGGAAGCCTTTGCCGCTGTTGTGTATAAACCAGCACTGGACGTTGGTCCCAAGGGCACGGTCCAAGCGATAATCCTTTTGCAGGCCTCTGCAGGCAAACGCAAACACGCATAAATCGTTATTGTGTAATTCAGGCTTGACCTAAACCGGTGCGTCTCGACCTTGGCAACTTTTAACAGGTATGGACTTCCAACTCCTGGAAAACATGCCAAGGTGGAGAAAGACTGCTCTAAAGTCACCTGGAAGGGCTGACGTTAGGCCACAAGCTATCAGCAACTGATTTTCATTTTTTCCCCCAAATGTAGCTAGCCTAGAAGTCGCCGTGTGTCCATCTGCTGCCAGTTGGAATTGCTTTTGAAATATCTTCAAGAGAGCCAGTTGGGTCTAGTGGTTAAGGCACCAGGCTAGAAAATATGGGACCATGAGTTCTAATCCAGCCTTAGGCTGGGTGACTTTGGGCCAATCACCAGGAGACGGTGAGTTCTAGTCCCACCTTAGGCATGAAAGCCATCTGGGTGATTTTGACCAATCACCAGGAGACTGTGAACTCTAGTCCCGCCCTAGGCATGAAAGCCAGCTGGGCGACTTTGACCAATCACCAGGAGACGGTGAGTTCTAGTCCCACCTTAGGCATGAAAGCCATCTGGGTGATTTTGACCAATCACCAGGAGACTGTGAACTCTAGTCCCACCTTAGGCATGAAAGCCAGCTGGGCGACTTTGACCAATCACCAGGAAACTGAGTTCTAGTCCCGCCTTATACATGAAAGGTGTCTGGATGATGTTCACCAATCACCAAGAGACTGTGAGTTCTAGTCCCGCCTTAGGCATGAAAGCCAGCTGGGCGACTTTGACCAATCACCAGGAAACATGAGTTCTAGTCCCGTCTTACACATGAAAGCTGTCCGGATGATGTTGACCAATCACCAGGAGACTGTGAGTTCTAGTCCCGCCTTACACATGAAAGCTGTCTGGATGATGTTGACCAATCACCAGGAGACTGTGAGTTCTAGTCCCACCTTACACATGAAAGCTGTCTGGATGATGTTGACCAATCACCAGGAGACTGTGAGTTCTAGTCCCACCTCAACGCATGAAAGCCATCTGGGTGACTTTGACCAATCACCAGGAGACTGTGAGTTCTAGTCCCGCCTTACGCATGAAAGCTACCTGAATGACCTTGGGCCAGTCACTCTCTCTCAGCTGTACTTACCGTACAGGGTTATTATGGGATAATAGGAGGGGGAAGGAGTATTAGGTATGCTTGCCACCTTGAAATATTTGTCAAAATAATAAAGGCAGGCTAGAAATAAATAAATTATAAAATCCATTATGATTTCAAGGCCTGTCCACGATCAGCTTCTGCTAAACCTTTCGGCAACTTTCTCTGGGATTTCAAGTTTACCAACACACACAAACACACAAACAGCATTTGAAGTGTCTGCCCTTTAGGTGCCTCAGATGCCCTTACCGGGTGACCGTAAGCTTGTGGCCTTTCACTTCCATGGTAGCGTCAGATTTCCCGGGATCTTGTCCTGGCCTTTCATTGTAGATGACCACATCTGGTTCCTGCATGAACTGACCTGGGGAAGAATTTTGTAAGTGTTGGCGAAACGTTTAGCTGAGATGTTAACCGTCTTCAACCTGGGTTCATCCTGAAGAGTCTGTTGGAAGATCTAAGCTATGCTCGACACCAAACCCTGAAGCCCTGCTACTTATTATGCATACTTGACTTAGTAGTTCTTGACTTAAAACAGTTCATTTTGTGACCGTTCAAAGTTACAACGGCACTAAAAAAAAGTAACCTACAACCATTTTTTCACAGTTACGGCCTTTGTGGCATCCCCATAACCAGGTGATCCAAATTCAGGCACTTGGCAACCGGCTCATATTTATGACGGTTGCAGTGCACCTGGGGTCACATGACCCTCTGACACGCCAAGTCAATGGGAGAAGCCAGATTCACTTAACAACCGGTTTACTAATTTTATCGACTGCAGCGCTTCCCTTAACAAGTGTCGCAAGAAAGGTGATAAAATGAGACAAAACTCACTAAATGTCTCACTTAAGAACAGAAAATTGGGGCTGAATTGTGTGTGTGGGGGGGTAAGTCGAGAATTACCAGTACCGCAAGAATCTTCCAGTCTGTCTTAAAAATCTATTTTATTGTGATTAAGCTTTGATGGGCTTATTTGATCAGATCTATGGAGAAAAGTCCTGAAAGGAGAAGAACGCACACAGGTGCCCTCCACAGACATCTAGATAACAACCGCAAAAAAGTCTGTGTTCCCAAAACATGGGGTTTTATCAGTGGACCTGGGGATCACATAGCCCATCACGTGGTTCGTTTGATTGTTGTCTCCAGGAAGGGGGTTGTTACCGAGTATTATATTTCGGGTTTTACTTCTGTAAGCTGTCCAAAATCACCGTTGAGTGAAGAGGGTGGGCGGATTTTTTTCAATTTTTTTTTTCAATTTTTTTCAATCAATAAAATACAGATAGTCCTCCACTAACGGCTTCAGTTGAGCCCAAAATTTCCATTGCTAAGCAAGGCAGTTGCTAAGTGAGTTGCGCCTCATTCTACAACCATTCTTTTCACCGTTGTTAACCGAATAACTCAAGTTGTTAGGCATTTGCTAAGTCTTGGAA